ATTACAGGTGTCTCCTTATTTCTTAACGCAGTCAAAAAGTTTTATAGGCAGAAAAGAAGATCTTCTGGGAGGTAAAATGGGTTTGGAAGGGGCTTTGAAAGCTGTTAAGTACTGGCTCATAGTCCTTCAAGGGCAGGGACAGCATTTCGGAATTCTTTTCTTTCAAGCCTACTCTCCAACAGCAGTTCAGTACTCACTATGCATGGGCAGTACTTGAGTGAGTCTTTTGTTAGATGAAAAACAAACTAATGTATTTTTCAGAGCCAGAGCAAGACAATTGTCAAAAGCACAGATTACTTGAAAATGAAAAATACTGAAATTAGAAGGTGCTACTTGGGACCAGCAGATGGCATAATGGTTACATTGCTGGACTCCCGTGGAGTTGCCTATGGTTCAAGTCCCTGACCTGGTGCCTTAAAACTCAGGCTGGGTGCGTGTGAGCGCGTGCCCAAGACCCTGAAAGGAGAATGAAAGAGATGAAATTGCTGCATGGTCATCCCACCTCTGGGGTGATTTCTCACTTTCTATCTTTTTGTCTCTCCGGCTAGCACATGTGCCCTATAGCAAAAACCTTTCTTAAAACAATAATAATAATTTTAAAAAGGTGCTTTTTGTTACTTTTTTTTATCCCTTCTCTGTCTTCCTGGCTACCCTGCCCCTGCCCTGAAGGCTAAAGAACAGAGCACTGGAGAGGGCTCCAGCCACCTGTCCCTATGCTGGCGCTGACATTGGGCAATTTATCTCATCTCTTTGGACCCCGTTTCTGCATGTGTCAAAGGAGATGATGATGATGAATGCTACAGGTGGTCCAAGGGTGAACTGTCTGACACAGAGTAGCCAGTTCATGTTAGCTGTTATCTTTAAACTGTCCACTGATTTTGGAAGTTTCAGATTGGGGGCCTGGTCTTTAATGAGATGCTTTCCTCCATATGGTGTCTTGCTGAGGGACAAGGAGTGAGGTATGAGCCCAGATACTGCCTCCCAGGAGCAGAACAGGGGACTGGGTTCCCTGGCAATGGCTCAGAGATGAGGCTGTTTGTCCCAAGGGGGGTGAATATTAGAAACATGTCACTAGTGCACTTTTCTTTCTTTATTCATGATGGCGCAGGTGCACATGAGCATGAGAAAGAGAGAATAACAAGCACTCTCCACAGGGCCTGGTCATGCCATGACCCCCCTCCTCTAGCCCTCCAGCTCATCAGCTCTTAGGCACTCACACATGTGCCCAGTGTGTTTCAGACCAACCAGGCCAGGGATCCAAACTCAGTCACTATCAGGGATCTGGCTTCTCTTAGCATTTCATTACTGCTGGGCCACAGAGCCAACTCCCTTATACTTGTTTTTGTTTCTTGCCTATTCTGCTGATAAATATCCTCATAACAGAGCTTATTATCACAAGTGAAAATCCTGGAAAACCAGGCCTCATGTGTCATTGGGAAAAAAAAATCAGTATTTAATTATGGTTTAGACTTGACATTATTGGTCTGAAGGAGAGTTTTTTGTGGCAGAGCAGAGGGTGAGCAAGAGAGTAACACTGGAAGGATTTCTTGGTGTGACTTTGAATGCCTGTTTGTCACTTTTTTTTTTTTTTTGGACAAGTGTTTTCGCTCTAGGGCGCATGCGCTTGCCAGACAGACAGAGAGAGACAGAGAGACAGAAAGCGTGAAATCAGCCCCCCAGGGAGGATGGCCACACCACAATCCCTTCTCCTCCATGCTCCTCTTGGGATCTTCGGCACGCACGCACACGTGCCTGGCGTAAGTTTTAAGCCACCAAGTCCAGGACTCGAACCATGGTCGACTACGTGGGAGTTCAGCAACATAGCCATTACACTAACTGCTGGTCCCTACCTGTTTGTCACTTTTTATTTGTTTAATTTGCTAGATGGTTTGTACCTCACAGCCTTACTGGAGAGAGACAATGGGGAAGGGAGTGGAAAAAGTCCCTGTCATGGGGAATGGCCATTCATGTCACAATCCCTTCCTCACTTCTCTTTCTGGGATTTTGGGCATGCATGTGCATGCGCCCCGTGCTGGGTATGGGGCTCAAACCATACAGTGGGCCATGTGGAAATCGGCCACTTTACCCACACCCCACTGGCTGGCCTCTGTTTATCACTTTGTAAAATTGGCTTGAAGTGGCCATATTGTATAGGAGGACCTTCTTAACAGTCACTTGACAGCTTTTCAGAAACTCTAGAGCTAGGTGGAAAAGCTCATGGGCCGCCCCCACCTTAGCTGCCTCTAACAGAAGGACCAGAGCAGCTGTGAGGTAACTGTTCGGGGCAGTATTGAAGATGCATGAAGCAAGCAGCATGCCATGGCCCCATGTATTGAAGGCTGCAAATACTAGTCCCTGATAAGGCACAATTTCAACTGAAAGAGTTAGACTCAGAGTCCACTGAGTTGCAAGGGGCCTTAGAGCTCATGTCATCCAATCATTTTCCATTTGAAGAATCAAACCTACAGACCTACTCAAGATAACGTACCTAATTAGATTCTGAGTTGATACTGAGACAAAATACAGAGTTTCTTTAAAAACTTTGTGGCAAACCAGTAAGTAGCATGATAGTAAAGGTACTGGACTCTTACATGGCTGACATTAGTTCAAGTCCTGGACCCAGCAGCTTGAAAATCATACTGAGCACATGTGCGTGTGTGCCCCCAATTCTAGAGAAGAATGAAGGAGAAAGAATTGTAGCGTGGCCATCCCCCCTGGGGAGACATGTTTGGGTTAGTGTTAGTCTCTGAAACCACAAAAGCATTTGATTAAGTAGTTTACAACCAATATGAAAATTTATGTTTATTTTTAAAGGGAGATTTCATTTTCAAAAGTTACAGAAATCTGTATTCCATGTTCAGGTTTTAAAGGCTGGACTGTCAGTGCCCACGGCACTGGTTCGCTGTTGCCCACACCACTGTTGGGCTAACTACTGCTTTGAAAGCAATTCCAGGCAATTTTAGAGGAACCCAAATGTCATGTGTCCTGATTATAGCACATGTGCTTGTCAAGCAGGAGAAACTAGCGTCCGTTGATGAGTTCCAAAATCACTGAGCTGTGAGCAGTCAGTCAGGCTCACGAAGAACAGCTCTCACTGTGTTTAAGGCCCAGGACTCACTTCCAGATCCAGTCGCTCAGAATTGCTTTTTTATTCGAGGTCAGGCATCTTCAGAAGTCATGTGGTAAGCAGTAGGGAAACTCTTCTGTTGAACTGAAATAAAACAGTTAGAAAGAGGAAAACAAATGTGTATTTGAAAGTTGCAAAGAGACTGGGTGTTTTCATTAGGGCCTTTATTTTAAGATCCTTCTACCGTGAAGATTTTTCTAGTTTGTATTTTGAGATTTTTTTTTTTTCTTTTACGCCCTGAACTTTCCTTGAAAAATGAAACAGAGGTCAGCCTCTCCCCAAATTCCTCTCGGTTCGTGAACATTCTTTCTCTGCACGTGATCACTTGCACTCAGCTTCTCCCAGTCTGAGACCCTCATTGCAGGCAATAATCAAATTCCTGGTACTTGGGCCAGGTAGACTTCAATTCTGAATTGTTCTTATCCTTACGCTTCAGCAAATGCTCATGCTCGTGTCATCCTTTGTGCCCCCTGTCCCCACCCCCGGCTCTGTCCTGTGCTCGTCTCTTGCTTACTGTGTACACAGAGGCAGGGGCGTGTGAACCTGAGGCTTTCTCTCCATTCCTTGTTGCCTCCCAGCTCTTTCTCGTTTACTTTATAAAATCCTCTTCTTCCTACATGGCTATGTGTGATTTACTTCCTCCTATCCCCCAATCTACCTGCATGACTGATAAACATGTGCATTTTGCTTGTGATAAGCCTTGAAGGAAGAAAAAGCCGAGTCATACTTTCTGTGTGTTCAAACTACGGTACCACTGCCACGGTGCTTTCGAAACTTGATTTTGACTTTTCCTTATTTATTTCCTACTCCCTGCCCCACTACCATCTCTTTCTCTAATTAAAATTAACTTACTTATTAAAAACGTGCTTTAAAATTATTTCTTTTTTTTATTATTCATTTTCTGTACTATATAGTATGGAATTGTCTTCTACTTCTTTTTTCTTTTTTTTTTCAGAGAGGTTTTTGTTATAGGGTGCGTGCACTCGCCAGAAAGACAGAGAGAGTCAGAGAGACAGAAAGCGAGAAATCACCCCCCGGGAGGATGGCCATGCCACAATCCCTTCTCCTCCATTCTCCTCTCGGGATCCTGAGCACGCACGCACATGCGCTGGCATGAATTTAAACCACCAGGCCAGGGACTTGAACTGTGGTCGACTACATGGGAGTCCAGTGATGCAGCCATTATGCCATCTGCTGGTCCCATCTTCTACTTTTCATTGCAGAGGTACCCTGTAAAGTTAATGAGCCCTTCTGAAAGAATTTTGGAACCTGGCCACATATACAACATTGTTTCTATGAGAAAATTAACTTCCAGCTTTTAGAAAATGATTTATTTTAAGTTGGCTATTTCCTCTGTGTGTTTGGTCACAAAAATCTGTTTGATGTGGTAACATAAAGTTAGGGAGGCCTGCCTTGGGTTTTACTTTGTTAAGTATTTTCATAATAGAAAAAAAGCCTCTTTATTTCTTATATTGTATTGTGTTTTTGTAACATTCGGGACCTTGCAGTGTGTTTCATTGGTTATTTATAATTTTTACAGCCACCTAGTAGGAGGGATCTTCCAGAGGTTCATGGAAGATGTGCATTATAAAACTGCAGAATTAAAAATAAAATTTACATCAAAGTAAACTCATACTTCAATTTTTTTTCATGGACTTTTGGAAGTCCCCCTCATATATAGAGACTGCAATTTTCTGCTATTTCTGTTCTACGTATCTTTCACATGGAGACTGTATTTTCCACTCTCCCTTGTAGCCACATACGGCCATGTGATTGCACATTTGCCAATGGGGTATAAGTACAGGTGATTGTCCTCATCTTTGAAGATGAAATTCCTGTCCAGGAACTCCCTGTCTTTTTTCCCTTCGACCAGCTGGAATGGCGATGACCAGAGCAACCCTGGAAGTCCTGAGAGCCAACTGTTGACAGCGCTGCTGCCGTGCCGATCTTCAGCAACTGTCCAGGCAAGCGCGGCCTGCCAAACTGGAACTCTTCCCTGAGACTGTTTCCTGGGGGACAAATAAACTGTTATTCCTTGAGCCACTGGACTTTTGGACTCTCTTTCATACAGCAGCTTAGTTTACTCTATCATACTATTGTCCAGGCAAGCGCGGCCTGCCAAACTGGAACTCTTCCCTGAGACTGTTTCCTGGGGGACAAATAAACTTTGTTATTCCTTGAGCCACTGGACTTTTGAACTCTCTTTCATACAGCAGATTAGCTTACTCTTTCATACTATTAGAAAGATTATGTAAAGGTGTTGTATTGTAAAGTATTTTCTCTTAATATGCAGAATCGAATAAACAAGCAAAAAAATGAATTTTCTTCAGAAAACCAAACTGTAGACATTTACAACTATTTTGTATTAGTGCTGACAGTGAAAGTCTCCAAACATTAAGAAGTTTATAAGGCTAATTTAATCTTCCATTCAAACATAAACATCTGGTTACCAAAGCTGGACATATTTTTCAAAGAATTGTTATTAGTAATACTTTATTCTGGTCTTCCTTATATCTATCGAAGGAACGTATGTAACATAATACCCACCTCACAAGCATATTCCTTGGACATACTATCCCATGATAATCCAATTTTAATTAGGACCGAATTCTGCTTATTATGGAATGTACCCTAAGAAACATAACTCTACAAGGGTCACTCAATAATAAAATAGCGAAAGAGTCATAAAGCAAAGTCAATGTCACTGAATTTAAAAAAAGAAGTGCAAACGGAATAAAAGTAGACACGCCCATGCATGATAATTTTTTTATCTGCAATTAATGTCACACCTAACTGTACTTCTTACAAACTTGCTGAATATTTTTGTTTGTATAGTTGTTGGTTTATTTTACATTTCTCTCAAAGCAAAATAACATTTATAGTTTGGGGTTTTTGTAAAGGTCTTTAACAAATTTAGATATTAACAAAATAGCATAAAATACAAAAGTTAAAACAAACTGCTAAATTGATTGATGACTAAAAAAAGAAACATACAGACTCTGAATAAAGTAGGTATGAATTCATTTCTCATGGTCTTAGAACTTAAGTTAGGAAAAGAGGTTACAAAAGAATCTGTGACCTTTCTAACCTCATAAAAACTGCATGAATATTGTAATATTCTTTGTGGAACTCAGAATTCTGAATGAGTTCTAAGAAAATCCATTTAAGAAGATAAAGTAGGCATTAGCTACAGGAAAACAATTCATTCTCCTTTGGCATATTTGGAATGAGTAGCAATTAGATCTCACTTCTTTTTTTAAATGCAGTAATGGACTTCAACTTTTTCTGCACCAAAGTTATTATGCTATTTATTTTCTAGACTTTCTTTACTCATGAACTTTTATACTACAACCTTAATCTGACATCTGGGGAATTTTGCTTATTCCTCAAAGTTTCCCATTTTACTTTTTCTTGGCTGCTCGACTAAGCTAAGAACCAGCACCATAACCAGACATTAGACTGACAAGAGAACATACTTATAGCCAGTGGGATACAACATAATCTATGAATCAATGATCTCAAAAGAAACTTGACAAGTTTCCTAACTATTTCTCTCTTTTTGGGTTGGAAAATATAAACCATACATTTTAGGCAGATAACTGCTATGTAGCAATTCATCTAGAGTCTCGGTCTGCAAAGTCTGGAGAATTGAGTCGTAAGGTTGGCATTAGTACTACTTAACTCCCTGACAAATCCCAAGCTGGATATCAACTTCCTTACTGGAAAATGAGGAGAGTATATCTATGCTTGAAAATTCATACTTGTAGAAAATTGCACAAAACACAACTTTTTATTTTAAAGTGTAAATAGACAATCCTAAAGAAGGAACAATCCCGGTGTAGAAGGAGGAATGAATGAGGCCTCTCTCTGTGTTATGAGAACACCTCTAGAACAGGGTCAGCAAAGGATAATTTTTACATTTACAATTTTTTTAAACCCAGAGAAGACTATTTTTGTGATACATGAAAATTGTATGCAGTTCAAATCAGCATTTATAAATAGAGTCTGGTTGGGATGTGGACATATTCATTCATGTATTGTGTCTGCTTACCTGAGACAACAGCAGAGCTGAGTTACTGTATGACAGAGACCATATGGCCTGCAGAGCCTAAAATATTTACTGTTTATCTTTTAGAGAAAAATTTGGCCAGCCCTTTTCCTAGAATATCCAAGGTAGAAATATCTAATAGGCAGTTAGAATTTAGATTTTTGAATTATCCACAAGAAGCAATAGTTTAAAATGTGGGAGATGATGAAGGCAAGGAAGAGATGAGAGAAAAGAAGCCAGAGAAAGCACCTGGTGGAAGGTCTCTTCTGACAAGCTGGGAGAGGAGGGAGGGAATCCCCTAGAGGAGACAGAGAAGACACAGTGAGAGTATGGTATGTTTTTTGAAAACCAAGCAAGGACTGGGTTCAAGATGAGTCGGCAAATAAAAACAGAGTTGGTGACTAAAAGAGACACCTCAGAGCAATCAGGTAAATTGAATAATAAAACAACTCATTGGATTTGTGGTTAGATGTTATTTGTGGCCACTGAGAAAGCAGTTTCTATGAAACACTGGGGCATTAGCCATTTTTCAAGAGATCCAAGAATGAGCAGACTTACCCTGGAAAAGAAACTAAGAAAATAATGATCAGAAGGCATAGCAAAAGCAACGGAAATTGACTTTTGTTTGCTTGGTTTTTTGGTTGGCTTTCATAGGAGAATGTTGAGAGTGTTTGTAGACCTTAGAGAAGCTTTCAAGAAACGGGATGAAAAGACAAGACAGAACAGGGCAAATACCAAGGAAGAGAATGGGAAGAAGATTGATGGACTGCTTAAGTTGAATATTAGGAGCGATACTAGTCCCTCTAAAGCAATAAGCAAAAGGAAAAAGGTAGAAATACAAAGATTTTCCAACAGGTGTAGAAAGGGGTGTAATTAGAGTTAGTGGCAGAGTCACTTGCATATAATAAAGGAGCTGGGACTATGATGGGGCATGTCAAGAGATTTAGTCAATAACTGTCTTGAGAGAAGCCATGCAAAGTCCACTGGAGGGTCTGAAAGTACTACTGAGGAGAAGCATTTGAAGTGGTTTTGTAAACCTTTCCCCCAAATTTGATAGCTTAGGTATAAAGATGCAAAAATAATGTTGAAATGATCAGAAGTGAGAATTCGTGAGAAGAGTCAAGAAAAGTTAAAGGGCAGATGAAAGTTCAAGAAGACAGGGTTGACATAACTTGTTCTGGAGTCCAGACTCAGCGGAGCAAGGAAGGCTTTAAAAAATGTAATTAGCAAAGATAGTAAAAGAAAAAAGAAACAAATGAGGGCAAAGTGCTGCTTTGAAAGTACAGAAAGTAGAAATCAATGAAGATAAAATCAGAAAGGAGGCCCTCTATCATCACTACCACCAAATTAAAAAATTTAGGAGTACTGATAATAAGGTATAAGACCTGGCCATGCACAGTGGGTACTGTGAGGGTCTCAGAAGTAATCTGAAGATGCAGCTCTCGGGATGTCTGCTTAACCCTGGAAGACCCTTGTTACTCAGGGTGGTTCCTTGTTGTATGAATGACTCCTAGGGTCCAGCAGGAGGAAGGTAATCAGAGACCAGAGTGATGTCTGCACTCCTGACGGTGGGAAGAGATCACAAGGGAAAACCCTAGCCAGGGAATCTTAAATTGAACCTAAGGGATTTAGCTGAAATTGAGTAGTCCTCTGGAATGGAGCTAAACAATGACTCAACTCATTGACTTTGGCTCTCTGAGCTCCCTCCCTCCCTCCCCCCTAGGGAAACTGAGATCGAATGAATAATAGCTGTGAAATACTCCCTTGAGAACAAAACTCTTACACACTAATAAAAACTAAATGCTTTTCATTATCATTTAAGTGAATGACTTGCTGCCTCCAAAAGTGCCTCATAATGAATGGCATGAGAAAGAATGTCATTGCCCCCAGATGTTACACATTAATATTAATTTCTAATAGAATCATTAATATTAATGTATAGTAGAACCATGAAAGTCTATAAATTGTGTTGATTGAAAATTAATTTGTATACACTTTTGCAGAATGATGAGAAGAAAGTTAATAAATACCTGAATGATTTAATTATTTGGAGTACCTAGGTGTTAGCTAAAATGTACTAAGAGATAATTTTGAAGTTGATTGAACAAGTTAAATAATTAAGTGGTTTATCTTGGGGTCCTTTGAAATGAAAAATACCTTTGTTTTCTTAGATCCCTTTACACCTCTCCTCACCCTGCCCTCACCTCAAACTTCCCCCACCTCACCTCAACCCCCCTCCACAGCTCCTATGTATTGTTTTTAGAGATTTAGCAGAGATAAGGAGGAAAAACATTCACATGTTCCAAAAAGCAACTGATTTCCAAGTCTTCGTGACATAAGAATACTAGCTATCCCACAGAGAGACAAATTGGATGACAATTCTAGGATAATTGAATTACTTGATGCTTTTCAAGTTGTTAGTAAATCAGTGCTGTGAAAATGAGGTTTTTTTTTTTTTTGAATGCTACCTGTAGTGTCCTGTGATAGAAGATTTTCTGTTTACTTATTAAAAACAAAATACAGAGCAAACATTTGCAGATTCATGAGTGGTTTGTGTTACACAACAACTGTGAAAATGAACACCTGGTAAACTAAATCAACACAAACTAAGTTGCCCAAATTTTGAATAAGTCATATCATAATTAGGAAGTGACAAAAATATGTACAAAAGAGACCCATGAATCCTAGTTGTAAATTCTTTAAGGGCCAAATAGTTACCTGTTTTGGATGGAGATGGGGGTGATAGGGCTGTGAGGTATGAAGCAATTGATTCAGATACCAAATATAATGGTTGATAGCAAAAGAGACTAGAACATGAAAAGTATTTGGACAGAGGCAAGCCATGAATGGGAGCAGAAACTGAATGATTTAGGATTCTGATTCTCAAACTGGATGTGCATCAGTTACCTGGAGGGCTTGTTAAACCACGAATTGCTGGACTCCACCCCCAGTGTTTCTAATTCAGTAGGTCTGGGTGAGGCCTGAGAATTT